GATCATCTGTAAGACAAATCAACAGTGAACCTGAAATAGGAATGACTACTAGTTCGTCGACGCGTCTTCGGGGCGCCACTCACGGCTAGTCCCTACATTATTTGAACCCACATGAGCAAAAGCTAGCTACTCTCTTTTAATCGTAAAAAAATGTGACTTCACTTTTATATATTTGTTTATATTACCTTCTTTCAGACATAGTTGGAAGAAATTTCATGAGACAAACCGACTGCTGAAAAGCAAACCCGAATAATGGAATAGTAAGCTGGAAAAAACGCAATGCGAACAGGCTTAGATGCCAATCATGTTGCATTGACTTAAACTTGAATTTGGATATTAGGAATACTTTGTGGTGTAGGTGTTGGTGTCGGTGTAAGTATGTGCCTGAGCGGGTTGATCTTGTTCTACCTCACACCTACATCCCATATCCACACTGTGGAAAAATCTCAGATATAGTTTACGCTAGTGAGATAGTCGACCCTGTAATCCCGTTAACACGTTTGAATAAGTTACTCTTCCAATCATTGCCAGATCACAAGTTCATTTTATTTCATATCACTCAATGTTCAATACATCGAAAACTTATTGTTTTCTTAAAAAACCTTACCCTGATTGTAAAATTATAGCGGCAAACTTCCAGCAATATAGTAAAGAGCTGAATGCCCTGACGCCGATTTAGCCTCCACAACTTTTCTAAAATATCGTGATTTTCTCGAAAAACTCTTTCTTTCATTGAAAAAATCAAATACAACATTTTGAAGAATTGACTTCAGATTCAACTTTCCCGACCCCCGTTAACTTCGATTAAGCCTCATGAAAAATCGTTATTTTCTCAAAAAACGCAACCCCTCACCGAAAAAAATCAACTTCAAAATTTTGCAAAACCGACTTCAGATTCGGATTCTCCGACCCCGATTTACTTTCGTCAACCTTTTTTACGTGTAACATCCGACCTCAGATTCAGAATCCTGGCGATCGACTACCTATAATAAAGTTTCATCAAAACGCTCAAAAAGGTTAAAATAAACAAGCTCATTTCTAATTCATCGCCTTCCTAGCCAATGTGAAGACCAGATGTAAAATTCGACCTCACATTCGGAATCCTGGCTCTCGATAGCCTACAATAAAGTTTCATCAAAATAATCAAAAGGCTTAAAATAAAAAAGCTTGTTTCTGATTGGACAGCTTTCTAGCCAATGGAAAGATCGGATATAAAATCCGATCTCAGATTCAGAATCCTGGCCCTTGATAACCTATAGTAAAGTTTCATCAAAAGGCCCAAAAAGCTTAAAATAAAAAAGCTCATTTCTGATTGATCGGCTTTTTAGCCAATGGAAAAGTCGGGTATAAAATCGGACCTCAGATTCGGAATCCTGGCACTCGATAACCTATAGTAAAGTTTCATCGAAAGGTGCAAAAGCTTAAAATAAAAAAACTCATTTCTGATTGGTCGGCTTCTTAACCAATGGAAAGGTCCAATTTAAGATCCGATCTCATTTTTGGATTGCTCGACCTCAATTACCTTTGGTGAAACTTTTAGCAGTTACGCGAAAATAAACTTCACTTCTGATGCTTTTTTGATCTTGACACATACCCACACACATACATACAAACGCATTTTATTTCATATGACCCTCTGTACAGTCGAGGGAATTTCTAAAGATTTCTAAAGATTTCTAGAGATTTCTAGAGATTTCTAAAGATTTCTAGAGATTTCTAGAGATTTCTAGAGATTTC